AAAAAATCCCTCAAGCAGAATATTCAGGAGAATTGGGGCCTCCAGGTGAAGAGTCTTACTGTTCAGGAAAGATTCTTGGAGCTGATGTCGCTTGAGAAATCGTGCCACCACTGGAAAAGTATTGCATACAACTTGCCAGTTGGAGTTACAATTCCTTGTCAACTATGTGGGTGACACATTAAACACAAGAAAAACAATGTTCTTGAATATTTGCTTTAAATCCTTACCCTCGGCTTTTGTAAAAATTCATCTCCCCCTTCGATTTACTCTGACCTTGAATCTGGAGCCGCACCACATTTACCACGCTTATCCACAATTCCAATCGAATGCACTGCAACATCACTCATCCCGGACACTACTACCTTCTTCATGGAAAGTAGATTTCGGTTAACATGTCTTGGAATAACATAAGCCGGCACATTTGTCTGTACTGCCTACAGTTTCTGGCAATGCGTCCAACTCTGACTCCTATAACAATTATTATTGGATTAGAAAATGTTAAAAATTGACAATTTCTTTCCAATACCTACTGTATTTTAATGACACAAATAACAAGTTACAGGAGTGAGTTTGCTTACCATTTGAGATGGGAATGGAGCTCTCACACTAGGGTTTACTGGTTTTGTGGTTGCATTTGGTACGGGTTTTAAAACTGGATTCCTAAAGCTAACCGAACATTTGTACACAGGCTTCAACGTACTGGTTCAGAATTTCAGCCATAGCAGTTAAAAAAGGTTCATGTCTGACTTTCCCAAAGTAAAAGTGCCTACTCACGCCCGCATCCTTCTGTAAACTGTTCTCATAGCAAAATGTCATAACTTGTCTGCATCTGCTAATTCTATCCATCTAGTCAAAATATCTTTGAAATTGCCGCAAATTAATGCCCACTTTCTCCAGCTTCAGGTCTTGCAAGATGTACAGTAGATGTTGAAACCCATCATGTAGATGCAGATAACCTAAAATAAACTTAAAGATCTCAATACAAAGCCATAGCAGTTAACAAATAATAATAGTTAAGCATATATAGTATATATATAGATATAGATATATATCTATATCTATTCAATATTCAAGCTCAAAATGGTTTTAAAATTCTTTTCAGGTAGGTATATATATATATATACATATATATATATACATATATACACATCTAGATGTGTATAAGAGACAGTATGCTAACTTAGAAGTATCCATAAAAGGAAACCTTAACAATGAAGAGGGTTAAAAACAGTACCTTAAGGCAAGTATCGTTAAGGGGAAACTTAAACGACGTTAAGGCGAAATCATAGACAAGAGTTTCCTCTTAAGAGCTGAATAAAGTATATATATACAGTATATATAAAAAAATCCCTCAAGCAGAATATTCAGGAGAATTGGGGCCTCCTGGTGAAGAGTCTTACTGTTCAGGAAAGATTCTTGGAGCTGATGTCGCTTGAAAAATCGTGCCACCACTGGAAAAGTATTGCATACAACTTGCCAGTTGGAGTTACAATTCCTTGTCAACTATGTGGGTGACACATTAAACACAAGAAAAACAATGTTCTTGAATATTTGCTTTAAATCCTTACCCTCGGCTTTTGTAAAAATTCATCTCCCCCTTCGATTTACTCTGACCTCGAATCTGGAGCCGCACCACATTTACCACGCTTATCCACAATTCCAATCGAATGCACTGCAACATCCCTCATCCCGGACATTGTTATTTACTGGAAACACTTAAAAAATATCTTTATCATAGAACTCTCTGTCCCTTTTGAACCTAACATACAATCTGCTCATACAAGAAAATCCAACAAATACAATCCTTTAATACAAGACATAATGTGACGCGATGCGAAACTGATCGCTTTTGAAATTGGGTCCAGGGGTTTTAGCTCTGAGGATAATATTAAATGACTAAAAAATATACATAAATTGTGCAATAAACCAATCTGTTTTTCAGAATTCAGAAACAAGGTTTCCAAATTCTCAATCATCTCCTCATTCAGTATCTATCATGCCAAAAATGATCCAAATTGGATAAATCCACCATACCTATTGGATAAATCCACCATACCTATTGGATAAATCCACCATACCCTTTTCTGCAATAAGTCCTTCTAATTATCCCTTGCCTCTGAATTCTGAAACATTTCTTCACCTTTTGTTTTGTTTTGTTTGTTTTGTTTTATTTTAATTTTTATGGATTTAAATTGTGATTTATAATTGATAATTTAAAAAACAAAAATTTTGATATTTCTCTTATATCTTTGTAAATGTTTCTTTATAATTTTTTTTTTTTAACCTGCGTGGTGCCACGTCCTGGCTCATGTCCTGGTTCTTTATTGTGTCCTTCATTGCCTATTCATTTTGTGCAATAAAGTGATTTTAAATATATAATGTGTTATTTAGTGTTTTCTTAATCTGTATTTAATGTGTTGGACCACAATGAATATATGTTACAGAATTTTAAAAAATTTAATAAACAATTACCCTATATATAATACAATATACAATTAGCCTATATATAATACAATATACAATTAGCCTATATGTAATACACAATAAAATAAACAATGCCTATATATAATACAATATACAATTAGCCTATATATAATACAATATACAATTAGCCTATATATACTACACAATAAACAATTAGCCTATATATAATACAATATACAATTAGCCTATATATAATACACAATATACAATTAGACTATATATAATACACAATAAACAATTAGCCTATATATAATACAATTAGCCTATATATTTGGTCCTGAATCAGACTATCATAATCAATTAAGAAATTGTTCTTGATTTTTAAAAATATTAAACAGAATTCCATGGTCAAAAATGTTTTCAGTAGACCTATTGTTTTAAAGCACATACTTACATCATCTGTTAAAAAATCCATCTTTATTTTGAAAAATGAATTATGTTTTGTTAAAAATACGGAGAAGAGATGAGAAAAAGTTAAATATTAAATATTGATAGAACAAAAGATAAGGGGCAGGTGAAAGAAATCAATAAACATGTGAAACAAGAAAAAAGCAATAGCACCGATTCCCAGAAATGGCAAAAAAAAAAAAATTTTTTTAAAGCAGTGTTCCATGCCAAAGTTATTGGCTTCTCCTTGTTAATGTTGTGCAGGTCCACCGAGATGGGGACGCAAGGAGGAAGATTTTCGGGGCCCAAGCTTACCGGGGGCCCCATACAAACTGCAAGTAGCATTTTTTCTCCATATTTAAAAAAAATAAAATAATTACTATCGTGAACGCTCAATAATGTCATGGGTCATCTAATAATGGGACTCTCCAATTGACTGGGCCTCCTCAAAAAATTGTTGTGCCTTCGCCGCAATCTATCCTGCGCTTCGCACATGTAACTGGGGCCCACACCAACCCTTGCCCCTGTTACAGTTTCCCCTCTTGGCGGCCCTGATGTTCTGTACCACTTACCCCAGGGCGGATCCAGGACTTTTCTTTAGAGCTCAAAATATGTTTCTAAAATTCCTATCAGGTAGAAATTTAATTTATTCCGAGTTTTGGATGGAGTGATAATAAATCATGTGATATTTTATTCTACAAAAATTTGCAAGAAATAAGGCACATTACATGCCCATTAATAGATGTACGTAAAAATTATGACCAGCAGGTTTTTGGAAATTTAAGTTTGCTTGTTACGATCTTTCAACAAATTTTATATCAGCATCAGAGAAGTACAGACGAACATCCAGATCATTACAAAGGTTCCCACTGCTTTAAAGCATAGGAACCAAAAATAAGAAACTGGGAAATTAGTATAAGCTACTACCTCGAAATTTAAACCATAAATATTGAAAAAAAATCATTTCATGAGAAAATTTATCTTTTATATAGCAATTTAATTACACGGTTCATGTTTTTGTACAAACAGTTTTTAACAAAATAATAATCCTGGAATTAATTGTATTGCAATGCATTATTATAGAGTATAGTCTATTTTAATAATATAATATATTTTAATCAAAGAAAACCACCTCAAAATAAAAATAGAATCAGAGGCAATATGACAAGCAGAAAGACATGACGAAATTAAGGACTGAAGATAGGTAACTGAAGTTAGGGACTGAATAAAAAAAATTTTTTTTCTCAAAGATAGACTATTTTATTTGCATATGAAGACTGATTAAATTCAGATTCAAGAAATCATATATTTCATAATATATTTATGTAGTGCTTTAATTAGTGCTTTAATTGCAACTTGTTTGACGAAGTTGTATTGTTTTAAGTACTTCACCAACCATGTTTAATGTAGGCCTATGGTTTATAGATAAAATTGATAGACTTTTATTTATTATTTTAATTTATTTATTATGAATACCCAGTGTAAAAATATTGGTCTTGAGGTCTAGTTAATAATAACTTATTAAAGAAAATTGCTAAAGCCATGAACATATAAAATTATCTATAAATGGGGCATACCATCCCATCCAACCCATAAAACAGCAGCACTACGCTCGTTTTTGGGATGGCATGCCTCAAATATATCTAATAGTGCAATAACTAACTAAACATTATGAAATACAAATCAGTACAAGTAAAACAACTTATAGAATCATGATTTGAAACAAAATGTATGAATTAAAGGAAATGAATTTTCGGGCATCTAGAGGTGTCATTCAAATTCTTGGAGGTTTAGTCTGGTCCAGTGCCGGCATATCTATAATGGGAGATTATATTTGGTCTCCCCCCCCCCCAGGTCCTTATTGAAAATTGTTTGAAGCAAAAAAATCACACTTACGTACTTAAAAATCTACCTGAAATCACCTAATATTGCAAGCT